GTGAGTGTGAGCATGAGTTGTGAGGGCATGCAGGTGTGTGAACGAGTGTCCGTGTGTGCAAGTGAGTGTGAGTTTCTGGGCGTGTGGGTGTGAGTGCACGCGAGGGCGAGGGTGACAGACACCTCGGTCCTCCCAGCAGAGGGTTTCCCAGGGCCCACAGCGCCCGCCATGGCCCCGTGGGCGTGAGGCGCCAGCTCTGCACCTCTAGCGTGGCCGGGGCCAGGCCAGTGCCCCCACCCCCCTGCTCCGCTTCCCCTGAGTTTGCCTGCTCTGCCCTCGCCAGGGCGAACCAGGGCTGCGGGGGCCAGTGAGGGAGCCCTGGCCCAGCCTCGGGTTCACCCGCCGAATCCCCTCTCTGGCCCCGCAGGCCGCACCTGCCCCCGGGGAGCCGCAGGACATCCACTACGCCTCCCTCAGCTTCCACGGGGCGAAGGCTCGGGAGCCGCAGGAGCCGGAGGCCGCCACCGTGTACTCAGAGATCAGGACCAGCGCGTGAGGCGCGGAGCCGCCTGCCCGGGCATCGTGGTGTCTTGGGGTGACAAGAAGCACTCGGGGTGACGACAAGGCACAAGGGGCCGCGGGCCGTGTTAACAGGGACACGGCTGAGCGGGCCGGGGCAGAGCGCGGTGACCCAGCATTCGCCTAGTCTCTGCCTCAGTTTCCCGCCCTGTAACTCAGAGATCGCCTCCCACCGCAGACCGTCAGAGAAACGCAGGGGGACATCAACCAGCTGACGTGGCTCGGAGGTCCGGGCTGGAGGCGGGGCCGGCGCGAGGAGGGAGCTGTCTCCACTGGGGCCCCCAGCCGCTCCCTCTGTCACGAGCCCCCCCCTTCCTTAGGCAGGGCGCCCCGCTCTCCGCCAGCAGCTTCCCCCCCCAGCCGCGGGTGCTGCCCCCTGCCGGCCGCCACCCGCCAGCGTCTGCGCTCCCTCCTCCCACGCCGCCTGCTCCCGGGCTCACCCCAGTTCTCCTTCAAATCTCCCTTCTTGGGTAGATCTGGGGGGGTGCAACCAGAAAAAAAGCTTTACTCTCCCTCCTCTAACGGTACACTCGGACAATTTTTAGCTGATTTTGAAAAGCAAGCGGTCGCTGAAGCACAGGCACAAACTCGCCCGCAGCGGCCCAGGAGCCTGGCATGGAGCCGGGGTTGCCAGCTGCCCCGAGGCTCCTGCTCCGGGGTGCAGGGCGGGGCTCACAGCCGGATAGGGCGGGCGCTGGCGCCGGAGGTCGCTCACCCCCAGCCCCAGGACCGAGCTACCTGCTGTTCCTGACTCCGCATTTCCCTTCCGAGCCCGAATTCTGCTCTGTGACGCCCTGATGAAAAGTGGGCCCACGAGACCCCGGGCCTCCACCCGCGACGTCCCAAGAAGGCAGAACCCCAGCCCTTCGCTCTGTCCCTCTGCCTCGTGTGACAACGGTGTGTGGCCATACAGTAATAAACCTGGTTTCCTCAGCTCCCAGGTGCTGGTCGCTGAGGTGTGTCCTGCGGTCACGGCCAGAACCCCAAGGGCCGGGCCAGCTTGACACCGGCCTGCCTGGGAGGCATCCATGGGGCCCAGGGGCAGTTCCAAGCCAGCAGCTGACACCACTGCACCTGCACGTGCCTCAGTCTGGACCCCCAACCCTTAACACCCAAAGCAGCACCCCAGCCCCACTTAATTGTTCCAAACCTTAGAAAGTGGCCACGCGCAGAGAAGCAACACTGGTGGGGTTCTCGGAGGACGCTGGCTCCCGGCAGCCACTGGCCAAACCCTATCTTTAGTACAGTATGCGGTGAAGGGGAGTTCCTGGGACTGGGGGCGCAGGGACTGGAGTCTGCACCCCAAGGTCTGCGGGGGTGGGGGGCCTAGACTCACGCCTGAGGCGGGAGGCTGGGGCTTCCTGGACTGGGAGGGCAGGTTGGTCTCTACAAACTGCCGCCTCAGCAGGTCACACCGAGATCTTAGTTCTGGGTGGAGGCCCAGCTGCGTTGGCTGCTCGCCTAAGGCCATGACAAACTCACTGGGGGACTCATGCCCCTGGGAGAGAGTGTTGGGGACAGTCCTCTCTTCCTGCCCTCCGCTGCGGGGCTGGCTCAGGAGCGCCCTCTATGGGTCAGTCCCGAGGCGGAGTCAACAGCGAGAGGCCCCGTGAAACCACCAGCCACGCGGCCCCTCGGTTCCCCACTCTGTCCGATGAGCAGAACTGGGACCTCCCCCTCCCCCCGCCCCCGCCTCAGTCTGGTTTCGAGGATTAAACGGGAACACGCAGAGGGAGGCACAGCCCTGAGCCTGGCACATGGAGCTTCCTGGGGCACCCCCCCCACCTGCCCACCAACCCCTTATCCAACAGGAGAGCCAGGCACAGACTTGCTACTTAAAATGTGGCTCAAGCGCCTGGAACGTAACCTGGCACCTCAGGAAATGCTCTGTATTTCCTGATCCTTAGACAAGGTGGTACCACAAGTTCAGAAAAACGCAGAAGAGGGATGCAGGAAAGCAAAGATGAGCCCAGCCCACTCCGCCCCTCGCCGGCTCCCCGTTCCCAGGAGGGACCCAGCCTTCCGGGGAGCCCCGCACACTCCCGAGGCTCAGGCCCGCGCCTGGGCTCCGGGGCAGCACCGGGGCTTTCATGAACGCAGAGCCCAGCTCTGCTCCAGGACCACGGACAGCGCCAGCCCTCCGCGAGGAGGAACTCGGGCCGTCGTGGTGAGTGGAGCGCCGCCTGGCGGCAGAGCTCTGACCTGCCTCAGACGGCGGTAAGCGGGGACGGCGCTGGGGACATTGTCACCTCCATGGCGGAGGCGCTTTTCATTCATTCTGCGGTTTCTTTTCTGTGCTGGGTGCTATGCCACGTCCTGATGAGCTCGAAAGAAACAAGAAAAGGGTGGGGGGAAGGAACGAAGCGCTAGAAGACTGGTGGTCGCTCCTTGGAGCTAATGAGATCAGAAATCAGTTCCATGACTCCCCTGCCTGCTGCCTCCGTGAACCCCAGCAAGCAGAGTCGCGCTGAAGGCAGAGCGAGGCAGGCAAGGGCAGGGTAAGGAAGTGGCCTTCGAGTGGCGGCGGGGTGAGGGAGCCTGCACAGTCACTGGCCCTCAAGCGCCAGCTGCGGGACGCGGAGCGAGCGGAACCTCCTAGTAGGAGGCAGTCGCTGTGCTGTGCTCAGAAAAGGGCTCAGGAGGACTGTGCGTTGGGCAACGGGACAGGGGTCACCTGTGGGCGGTGTGAACCAGGGGTCCCTCAGACCGCGAGTCCAGGCTCCCCGCCTCCTCCATGAGACCCAGAGTCCAGGCTCCAGCTCTTGTAGAGTCACAGGTAAGCGACCCCATGTCCCTTCCAAGCTCACACGGGAGCCCCTGGCCAATAACTGGGGTTTACTCTCCGTGTCATTTGGAGAGAGCCCTCACGCCCAAGTCAGATCCCAGCTGGGGTCGCTAGAAGGTGAGCTGGGCCTGGGAGGAGGCCGGGCCGGGGCCACCCTCGCGCTCCTGT